AGACACTCATGAGGGATTTGCACTGTGGACCCTGCAGGTTGGCTGCTCTTCTCACTCAAGCCAGGTGGGCACGAAGAGTCCTCCTCACCTATCCTTGCCAAGCCTGGGACCATACTGCCTGGAGAGGAGAAGCAGGCACCTGCCCTCCCACCTTCTCACCAGCAGGCCACTACCAAGGCTGGGCAACAAAAGTAACGGAGGGGCCCAGCATCATCAGCAGCGACCTAACTTACTTAGGACACTTTCCTGCTCAACCCTGCAGAAATGGTCTCCAGATCACCATTGCATCCCGCGAGGAAAGGAATCTGAAGTCTTACCTCTCCAGTGTAGTCATGAAGAGATAAAGCATCAAGATTCAAAATGGGATGTAGGTTTGATCAGTAAATTTGGATCTTCTGAAGGATCCACACTACAGTGATTCTAAGGCATTGCATGTTAACAATGAATACAAACAACCTAGCATCTTCAAACGCTCACAAAGAGGTCTCCATGCCTTAGGCCAGGCAATATTGTACATCGTGAGCACACGCACAATGGCAACAGCACTGGGTGGCCCAGCCCTAGGACTGCAGGGTGACCTGGATCCTCAGATGGTCATTTGCTTTCATAATTGCAGGAAATTGCAATTTAGACTGTATGCAGAGGGAAGTGTCCATACCTAGCAGGAGTGCTGATATAGCTTCAAGGATCTCAGAAAGACCCTGCAGGGCCACATCCCAGGGAGCAGCACGAGGAAGAGATGAGCCAGGAGCTGAGAGGGCCCCAGCACCAGCCATGCCCTCCCCAACAGGGCACAGTCCCATGGGGTCTCAGCATGGCCAGTAGAGCCAAGGGTGGGACAGGGTCCATCACAGCCCCAGACACAGCAAGGGGATGAACTGGGACCAGGGTCCCTCCAGGGAGCCTGATCTGGAACAGGAGAAGGGGCTGGAGACAAAGCTACAAGGCAGGTCCAAGGTCCATGCAGCAGCCAGGGCTGGAGATAAGAACATATCTAACATGGGTCAGACAGGGACAGGGGACGCAGGCATAAGTTTAAATGAGGTCTTGGGCCATGGGCAAAGGAGGTATGTGGGTGAAGGTCCCAGATAAGGTAAAAAAGCCAAAGGCAACCTGTACCACATTGCTCAACACTGTCTGGGCTCTTCAGTTCTTGTGGTAAAGCTGGTTTTTATCACAGACTCTCATACATATAAGATGCCCTTCAAAAAAGCCAGCTAGGCTGAACGCTGCCAGCCTGGTCAGGTGGGATCAACACTTCTGTTTGTTCATGCTAATGAGTATATAGCCCTGCTGTCTTCAGCTGAGCATGCCGTAGTTGTGGCACACTGGTAATGCCCACAGGCTCCAAAAACTTCACGACTTTCACAGCTGTGTCTCAGCTGTGCTTTGCAGAGCTGAGAGCTACAAGTCCATGTGAGTACAGGTCTGCAGGTGCCGGCACTGCTAAGGAGAGCTACACTTCTCAGCTGGTTGCCCCTAAATCTCTCCCTGAGTCCCAGAGCCAGGAAAAAGCTTTGAGTTCATGACCTGTATCAGCAGCAAAGCTCTGACCCCCCCCACTAAGTTTAAGGAAGCATGACCCCAGAATTGATCCATCAGATGCAAGCAAAGCATGACAAGAGACAACATAAAATAAGCACTTCCCTCGTTCACGTCTGTCACTGACATTTGAAGAAGTCAGGCAGCGAATGCAGCTAAAAATGAGGGCCCAGTGGTCAGCTGACCAAGCTACCACCATCCAGCCAAGCAGAAAGACATGCCAAGCAGAACGTTCTTGGCAGGGGAACTTCCACTAATGCTCTTAGCCTGTTGCAAATGCAAAGTAACGCAGTGCACAGTGGAAGGTGTTTAAACTAGGTCAGGCTTTTTTGGCATTTGCTCCAAGTGGAGAGCACGTAGGGACAGTCACCAAGGCTGACATTCAGCAGCTTGTGAGGATGGGGTAATCTGTGTCATCCATTTGTGCCTTTAGTCATTGGCATTTCAACACGAAAATGCAATACCTTTGAATTCAGCACCTCATAACACTGAAATTCTCATTTTCTCTGGCAAGGCCACTCTTTTTCCCGCATGCTGTTCAGAGCTGCTGGCTAATAAATACAGCTAAAGCGGTGGAAATGCCTGGTTAGGTCCATCTGTGTCCTCATTTCTTGCCTAGTCTCCTTGCTAAGGAGACCAGTGCAATTACCGATCCAGGCCTCAAGCCAAGATGATAAAAGGGAAACACAGGCAAACCCACCAAAAGCATGACAGAGCCCCTTCACCACTGCCTAGTGCTTGTATAGATGGACTGGAAAACGGGGAATAAGCATGTAGGAATGAAGGGAGTAGTTAGAAAAATGACAAGTGAGGGCACCTGAGTGGCTTGGCACCAGGATTTCCTTGGGCAGCAGGGTTACTGACCCAACCATGTGGCAGACAGACACCTGCACAGTCACTGACCTGGCTGGCAAGAGAAATGGGCCATCTTCGTGCATGGCACTCTGAGGGAATGGGGCAATGATGGTGGGGAAGTAGGGGGAATAATTCCTATCAGCTCTGAGCACATCCTAGATGGAGATCCTTGGTGTTGGGCAGCCAGCTCATCCCCCTGACAACGTGAATCAAAATCCAGCCTTGTGCTCACCGCAAGCTCATCAAACCCCAGCAACAATGGGAAGTGGCATTTCCCTTGGGAGAAAGAGCAACACACAGAAGATGCACTCCTAGGGAGCTGTATTTCCCACTAGAAGCTTGTTTTCTGGTTACTCTCTTGTTTTGCTCTCCTTCATTAGATCCGAGCCCCGCCATGCCCACGGATGTGGTTGTGTCAGCTCTCGTCAAGATATCATTTTTTAGGCAAAGAATAACAGCACCATTACACTTCTTACGTCAAGCTGCTTTCTCCAGCCATCAGATCACTTCAGCAGCTCTTCCCTGCACTCCTCCCACCTTCCTATCAAAAGAGGACCACCAGAGCTGGACATAGGACCCACGGGCTTGAGGATTAACATAGGGCATGATAGAACACTGGACTTGCTTTATCCCTCAGTGAGATTTACACCAAAAGGAAAATGTTTACTTCAAAACACGGAAAAGTAAAGGCACAAGATAAAGCAAGAAATGCACTATTAGGACTATGAAAAACAAGAAGCATCCCCGTTGTTCACCTCAGCACCTTCACCTGCTCCCAAGACTCCTTCTTTTGACCTGGCACCTTCTCCTATTACCTGAAGATGAAATTTCTTTCAAGAGGATCCTGCTCCTTCCTTCCAGTCTTCGCCCAGAAGTAAAAACCAAAGACCCCTCCTATGCACGATCCCAAGCTCAGGTCTCACTTGCCTTCTGCTCAGGGAAGCTTCCTTGTCTCTTTTGCTTGGGTTCTGGGGCATCACAAGACATTGAAAAGCTACATTTTTTTTCCTAGATCTGGAGCCGTCTTTCCCTGTGAAGCTCACACCGACCCCAAACATGGTACCATACTTACTGCAACTAGCAGCAATGCGCTCAACTGAGTGAAAGACCTCACCAGGCTTGAACATGCACTTGGATTTAGAGGGCTGCTTCAGGGGAACATTCACACTCGCAGAACAAAGCCAGGTTTTGCGGACAATACCCATTTGCTATAAAACCACACAGGCTGATAACAATGTTGCTTGCTTGCTTTCTTATCAGTTACCCACTTAACACCAATTACTAACTTTTCCCTTGGTTTTGCACTAGGCTATCCTCAGGCTAAATAGGTTATAGGTATCAGGGCCATCTGCCTTTTCCCATGCAGGCACAGTACCCCCAATTTCCCTGCAATATAAATTCATCACAGTTTAATAGGAAACACCCCAGCCAGTTCTCTTAAGAGTTCCTAGGTGCTGCTCCTCTCTGCCTGCTAATTTAAAGGTATTTGCCCAGATCAGACATCATTCAAATTCCCCCCCAGTTAATATACAGACATAATAATATAGTTATATACAGTTAATATACAGAGTATAGTTCAGTCTCCCCCCAGAGACAGGCTTGACACTGATTCGCTCCAGGCATTTCAGCACCCATCTCTGCTTGTAAACAGAAGCTGTCATACATCAGGCACACATGCCAAAGCAGCTGTTCTTCCAGCTCCACAGGAAGCTGGAGTTTATAACCTAAGCTATGGTTTAGGCTATAAATGAAGTGAGCCCTGCTACTGCTTAGACTGGAAGAAAAGCCCTGGGGCTTTCCACACAGAGCTTCTGCCCAGAAAAAGCTAGGGAATATAACCTGCAAAGGCCTGACACCACAGGAAGCAAGGATTCCTAAAACACCTCAAACGCAGTGCAGGAAGAGAGTGGAGTGGTTAATTCTTACACAACACAGCTGCATAAACAGATGCAGCCTTGCAACAGAACAGCATAGCAGCCAGGACCTGAAATGATCACAGCTTTAGCACAAGCTTCAGCTAATCTTCCCAAGATCAAGTGTTCCATACTGCAGTGTTTTCAAAAGCAGAGTTTTTCTTCAGTGAAAATAGCTACAGACTTCCATCTCTTACTCAAAACCAGAGGCCAGGAATGGTTTATCTTCCCTGTGACTAGGACCCCACACTCCTTCCCACCCCATTCTTTGGGCACGATAGACTAGGTCACAAATAAAAGCAAACCCTCCCTCCAAGACAGCAGAAGCTCAAAGAATTAAAAAAAGCCACACACATCACAACAATTATTAATTAAGTTTTTATGTTTATAGTAGTCACTTTACAGGGATATCAACTTTTTAAAATCAGAATTCTGATGTTGGAGTTACTTTATTGGGAAAGCTGTAAGAAGACCAAAACAGCTGCTCTAAAACGTGATTACAAAGAAAAACAAAGTTGACATCATACTTTAAAGGAAAGTTACATAGTTTAACTTGCATAGCACAAGCACATATAAGTAATTGAGTTAACAGGCATTGATAAAGCCTATCTCAATTTGTGTTATTGCTTTTTTTTTTTCTTTTAAAATCTGAGCATCTGGTTGCTGGTCTCTGCTGGAACCAAGGTATGCTTATTCGCATTTACTCTGCAGTAGTTTGATTTGGTTTAACCAAGGAACAGTGTACACTACGAAGTCACAAATGGCATGCTAAGGAGAGAAAGAAAAAAAGCAGTTGTCAGATTAAGAACATACAACAGTGTCATTGACCATTGCTCTACACTGATATACTACCCCACATGATCCAGAATGCATGCCACTTCCATGGCTCACTAGATTTGCACTCTCCTGACAAGTATTCTGGACCACCACTCTTGTTAGTACCTGCTCAGGATGAATCATTTCTCTCAAGCACAGAGAACCTGAGTAGTCAGCACTCCTGAAGATCATTTCACTTTACCCTTTCACACACAGGAAAGCTTTCAGCATGGGTAATACTCCAACATAAGCTCTCAGACACAGATAGGCATGCCTGCACAGCTAATCTGTGCATGTGTCAAATCATCACAGCTGTCATAATGGTACACACAAGCTTTAGCTAGGTCCTTAATGGATCACTTTTGTGCAGTTACACTTATACATGCAGGCAGAAAGGGCACTTTTGTGCAGTTACACTTATACATGCAGGCAGAAAGGGCACTTTTGTGCAGTTACACTTATACATGCAGGCAGAAAGGGCACTTTTGTGCAGTTACACTTATACATGCAGGCAGAAAGGGCATGTACACAGAGAAGCTAAGCCTATCACTGCAATTAATGGAAGTAACGAAGTGCTATAGAAGAACTAGACTCAGGCCAGATCAAGGCAGACATATTTGGTGCTCTCATCTGAAAAGCTGAAGTATACTTTGAACAGCATTGCTGTTAGACAAGACTCCTGTGTAACAGCTTGATGGGCACAGAGAACAGGGGTAATCTGCCTTGCGATCAGTGCTTATCCCAAAGCACTATTCACAGCAATGTAAGTCTCCCAGGAAAGTGTGTCAAGTCAAGCACATTTACATCACCATGGGACAAGAGGAGCCAAGAATAGCATGGGGACTCAAGACACTGGACAGAGAGCCAGGAGACCTGCAGGCCTGGCAGAGTTTTCTCCATGTATCCTTGTGATCCAGACCACAAGCACTTTAAGAGAATTGAGGCGCACACAGTCCTCCATGCACTACAGCCTCAGATCCCCACTTACAAAACAGGCTAAAAGGCCCTGCCTCCTCCGTCACCATCATCTGGCAAGACAAGTTCTGCAAGGGCTGTATCTTGTTAAGTGTAAAGGCATGAGGTCTCCAATCTTGGCTGGGGCGGACAGGGGACACTGCCCATACCTCTCTGTACTAAGGCAGAGAGGGAAGGGGTTGGAAACCCACTGGCCAACATGCTGTGCTCTGGAGCTTACCTTAGCCATCTGCGGTGCATCATGGAAAGCGCAGCTCTGGAGATTAGTTGCTGGTTTTGGGCAAGTTGTCCGGCCAATCTCAACTTTCATTACATACTTGACTCCAGACACAATCTGCAACAACACAAGCAGACAGAATCAGCTTTATTTGCAGCACATTCTCCTAGGCTTCTCTCTATAGAGAGCTGTTCTGTAAGGCAAACAGTTTTCTGGTTATATGATGGAAACCAGACTCCAGAAATACAGAGGAGATTGTGTGTGGCAACCTCCACAGACAAGGCACTTGGCACCCTTTCAAAAACAGGAAACAAAATCCAAGTAAACAAGTCTCACAGTGCAGCTTCCTCAGTCAGTAGGGGTATCTGTTAACTCACCAGCAGCGTAAGGAAGTTACTAGCTTCTCCAGTAACACACAGCACTCAGACTGACAAGACCCAAGCTATAAAAAAAATGCTTTTGTTCCCCTTCTGTGGAAAAAAAAAAAGCTCGAATAACCCCTCAGGCTGGAGGCCTGCTCTTTCTCCAAAAAAATCGCACAGCCGTCATTTTCAGCTGCTCCCCGGAGGGTTCCAGGGCCAACCCTGAAGTGTGTCATGTCCCCCCGACACCCCCAGCCTA